CCTTCAGGCTTAATTATGAACCTGCTCAACTATTGGAAATGGCCACTATCGATTCTGGTGTTCGAAAAGGAAGTTCAGTGGTAATGTCAACGTTGGCTAGCTGCCTCGTGATAAAGAAGCCAGTGCAGGCTGCACCAAGCTCTGCCAGAAAGGACCCCACTCTTCCCATGACCCATAGGAAACTGCTGTCTTATCTAATAAAAGATGAGAGTGTCTGGGAATCATTGAGCTCAATGCCTATAAAGGTTCTGAGATGCCAGACATGCCTCCTTCTGAAGTGGCTGATTCTTTAACCATGAGTTGGTGGGCCCTAGTTGAACCTGAACACTGTTAGGAGTTCTCAGGGATTCTCTAAGAAGTGCTATTTAGAATCCTGAGTAAATGTCTGTGAGCCTCAAAAACAACTTTACAATGGTTTCTTTTAGAAATAAGAGCTTGAGCCACATTCCCCTGACACCTATCCTTGCCCACTGTCCCCATGGTAACCCACCTCTTCAAAGACCCATCTGCATACTACTCATCTTTGGTCCATTTCTTCTGTTGTGTCCACTGCTTCTCTGCATTTCTCCACTGTGCTGTCTGGTGCTATAAGACTAAGGTATAAATGAGCTTCACTGGGGTATACATGAAAAGGCCAGTCACCCCAGAGCACCAAGGTTCAGTCAAGGCAGGTAGGTCAGTGAGGAAACATTCTATGGAAAAGTGAGGTATTCTCCCACAAGGAGTGAAGAGGGTGTTTCATTCCTTCAGTACCATGCAGATTTCATTCATCCCTCAAACATTTCCTTGGTGCCTGTGCTGTGCCAGGCTCCACCTTTGCCCTCCTGTCATCCTAAGCACCTCTTCCCCGGCCTCCCCTGCCTTCTCTCCTCTGAGGGTCTTCCAGACTCCACGTACAGAGCAGAGCCTCCTGCTTCCTGTGTTTACTGACTAAAGAAACTTTATCATTAATCTGGGAAAAAGGTTGTAAAGTCAAAAAAAGGAGGCAGCTTAAAGACTCCAAATGTGTCAAATTGGGAAGCGGAAGCTTGAGTCTGGCGCCTTAGACCACTCGGCCATCCTGACAAGCTCAAAATGTGTCAAATTGGAAAGTTTAAAACCTGATTATTCTTTAGACATGGACCTCAAAATGGTTCTAATCAATATTTATTGAATGATTAAGCAAACTTTATATTCACGCTATTGATAAGTAAAAGGGTTTTTCTAATAAACTAATCATTAGAAAACATTGCAAGAGGGAGTTTAGCTTAATTAAGAGGATAATTCTCAAACCTATTTTTTTTATCCACTCTGAATAATAGGCTTCATATAAATTTCAAGTGTACCTTAGATATTTGTTAAAGAAAGCCTGAGTATTGTTTCCATGAGACAAGAGTTCAAATCAGTTAGTTTGTGTTGGCACTTAAAAATGTGAACAAAAAAGGAAGGGGGCAGTCCATGGGAACTAACCTCACAGGGTGATCCAACCATAAATTTCTAACTGGGCAAGTCACGGTGGGTAGTCCCAGCCCAGGCCTGTAACTTCTTTAGTGAAAGGTTTTAAGCAAGTCCTGTCCATTGTTCTTGTACATCTAGGTTAACACACCTTTGAAACACCAGAAGTTATAATCCTCAAAGGGTGTATTAACCCTCGAGAGAGCACATAATCTTGTTCCAATCATCCTCACAGCCCCTCTTTAATTTCAAATGCACAAAAGAAGCTGCGAAACTCTCATTCTCTGGAGATTTGAGATCTTGCTCCCTGGCAAATGTCATCAGTTTGGCTCAAATAAACTCATAAAAATTCTCCACAGGTTTGGATGTTCTCATGTTGACAAAAGTAATAACAGTGAATGTATTTCAAGTAGCCCTTCTCCAAACCAATTCAAAATGGTTTGTATCAATTCAAAATGATCTTCATCGCTTTTTCGCACCATACACCAAATGTCCTGACAAAATAGCTCTTCAGAACAGCCTAGTGTCTCAACCTGTCAGACAGAGGTAGTAATGGCACCTGTATCATAGAGCGGTCTTTGAGAATTAAGTGCAACTGTGACTAGAAAATAGTTTGAGACATTTACACATTTTTTACCCTATATGTATTTTCTAGGGTCCCTTGCCTCCTCTCAATTTAGTCTGGAGTCCTTCCTTATCATCTGGAAGGTGTAGCAATCATTGTTTCAGGGGAGGAGCGATAAGGCAGAAAAGCCAGAAAACTAGATGAAAGAGTTAAGAATGAGGCCTTTTGACCTGTAAAAATTTAACCCTTGAATAACTGAAGCATCAAGTTTGTGCCATAAATATTAGAAATAGAAAAACAAAGAACTAGGCATTTAAAGATTATCAAGATTATGGAAGGGAGAGCAGAGGTGAAGAGGAGGCAAAATATTGATAACAGGGTCCCAGAGAAACGGGCTTGCTTCCTGGGAGGCAGGGTAAGAGGAATTGGTCAGGCAGAAGTGCTGAGAAGGCTCTTTCCAGATGCTGGAAACAGTGGCTTGTTCTCTATGAAGTGGGAGGCGGTTTTGAGGCGGCAGGGAGAACCACGGCTTTGAGGTGTGAAGCAAAGAAGAAACCCAGACAGGGGCCTGATGGAATGTAAAGTCTAGCAATTGGATTGGCAAAGTTGATTAGTATATTGGGACCCACAAAATAGAGGCCGCCCACAGAGGCACGAATCTAAGCCCAGGTCAGCCTTCACATAAAGGAGATGCCTATCAGGGAAACATAACACACACCCATCACAAGCCTCCAACTCAGCTTTAGTTTATCTTACCCTAGAAAAAAGGACCTACTAGCCTTATAAGGAAATCCCTGACATCCTAGCCAATCCTGTACTGGTTCTGAGTTGCTGGATGCTTCTAACTGTCCATATAAAAGTCACTCTTACACAAACATCTCTTGGAAAGAGTAATCCACTGCTTTTGAGGCACTGTCCTTAGCCCATTAGTTGCTTTTCCTTGACTAAAGGATATCAAACTCAAATTGTTTCAGTTTTGTCATTCATAGGATGCAATGGCAGATGCCACTATGGATAGACGAACTATAGGACATTGAGTCTGAGCCACTCCCTTTCACCTGGAACTTAGACAAAACTTGAGATAGAGCAGAAGCTAAAATCAACTGAAATTAAGTTTCTGCTACCCAGAAGAATGAGCATTTAAAATAGAAATTAAGGCGATTTATTCAAAAATAAATTAAATTGAATCATTCAATTTCTCATATCTCATCCAGACCTTGAGATTTACTCACACTCTAATGCAATGTGTGTAAGTGTCTGGTATACAATAAGTGCTCAATAAATGTTAGTTACTATTATTAATAGTACCTTTGATCCCAGGAAAAGATACTGAAGAAAGTCCTATTGTAAGAGTGAAACACTCTGCCCCTCTGACTCCGCCTTGTCCAAGCCGGCTTTGTTCCCAGGGCCTTCAGGCTAATAGCTTCTGCTTAGTCTTGCATGTAAACATGCTAATCAATTGGAGGAATTCTGCTTGCTGCTTGAGTGTAACAAAAACAGCCCCTTACCAAAATTGTCTCTCCTAAGGAGATAAGGAAGTATGTATAAAAATAATGATGTTTATCAAAGACTGCAAGAACCTTGTGACTGGATTCATATCCGCCAGCATGACCCTCCTCGAACCCTGGCTGACCCCCAGATATCTGCGGTGGTCAGTCACCTCTTGCTCTTCCCATTTCCCCTTCCCTTGAAAAGAAGCCTGAACTCTGTACTTTGGGAAGACAGGTTTGAGGAACTACTAGGTCTCCATCTTCTTGGTTAGTGCCCTCTGGATCAATAAACCTTTCCTTACTCCAAACACTGACATTTTGAGTTTTGGCCTTTTAAAGCATCAGGACTTTATAACATGGACTTTATACCAGTAACACTATGCCACACTTTAAGAAAGCCTTATTACCTTCTCTTCAAGAACCAAAGAAGGAAAGGGGGTTCACTTTCTTCTTGCCCACAGATACTCAAGTCAGCACTTTGAGCAGCTGTGGTAGGAAAATGGGTCGGTGATAACCTGGAGCGGACGGACAGCAGTGGAGAGTCTCCATGACTGTTGGGTGAGTTCCCTCTTTACTTTTCTTTCTTAAGATTGACTTGGCTACTTATGGATCTCTATAGAAACTACTGTGTACTCATCAAAGGCAGCTTCCTTTTGGGCATACAGTGAGTCTACCTATCACAGTCTGTCCTGGAACATTAGATGGGGTCATGTGATCAATTCTGGCCAATGGAAGGGGACAGAAGTAAGAGATGTCACTGCTTGAACCCTAAAAGCCTTCTGTGTGATCCCCTACAGCTGGAAGAAAAGGGCTCTGAGGACCTAAGAGACACACAGAGCTGCAGACAGGAGGAGCCCAGGTTCCTGAGAAGCCTCACGTAGGAGAGCCACAGTACAAGGACACTTAGATTGGACTGCCACTTAGTGAGAAAGAAGTTTCCTTTGGGCTAAGCCATTAAAATGTGGGAGCTGTTTGACAAAGCAGTCAACTCTGATACATACTGTATAAGTATTAGAGTACGTTTGTCAAATGCAGTTGTGGCTCCTACCCCTGTACCCCACTTTCAGCCCCGTCACCAAACTCGGCCATTTTTAGCAGCCTCCCCAGAAGTCAGTGTACGTGAGTACAATTGCAGTTTACTTCCCTCCTCAGTGTTCTTTGGGATTAGTCGTATAAAACAGTGATGCAAATCCTAGACTGAGGGAATTTTAGAAATGCAAGGCACATGTGTGAGGGGGTTTTCTGAGAGCTGCTTTTAGTGAAGTGGATCAAAGATGAAAATGGCCAAATCTGACCATCATAAGACCTTCCAATCTACCTGATGAGTAATCTCTATAGTTTTGAGAAGCAAAAATATAAAGTAATTTATAACAATAAGGGTGAGCACATGCGTGTGTGTGTGTGTGTGTGTGTATAAAGGTAACAATGGATAACTGAGAACTGGCTGATGGAGGAATCCAATTGGTGAGGAGGAGAACATGTACAATATATATGAAAGCCTGATCAGTTCTGAGCAATGATGAAAAGGTTTTACTACTGACCTTTGTACTTAAGAATGTGTCTACACTTGATCTGAGGTCAGAATTGAAAACAGCAAACAAATTAGGAGGAAACCAAAGCCTTGGCCAGCAAAGTACAGACTTAAGAAGCTGTGGGCTAGTTAGTACTGGAACCAAAATCAGCACCCACATCTTCAGAGCTCCCTTCAATGTGCCTGTTGATACATCTGGGTGTCTAGTATTAACAACTCACACTTTAGAATTAGAGCAAACTGTGTTCAAATTCTGGGTCCCCCTCCTACCAGGTGGACCATCTCAGGAATGGCATTTAACATCTCTACACAGCATTTAACCTCATCTATAAAATGAACACAATAATAACAGTACTTTCCGTTTAGAGTCATTATATCAACTAAACGGATTAATGCATTTAGAGTACTTAGTATACATCTGACCCTAATAAAATTTTATGATGTTCATTTCTGCTGTTATTTCAACGAATACCGAAGTTGTGTAAAAACAATGCAACAGCCCTCACAGAACAACACCCCGCACAGCTTGAGGATGACTTCTTCTCTGAACAGAATTCTGCTTTCTCTTGCTGTTGAAGGACTTTAGGACACACCACTCCAAAATATGCTGCTTTGGTGTGTTGATTCTTTTAAGCTGAAGACACTTGATAAACAGCAAATACAGAGAGAGACTCTCTCTGAACTCCTCTTACCTACCTAAAAACAGATCCTCCAAAAGGAATCCAATTGCCATAAATCCCCTCCGTTCTCCCCAGGATTTTCATCAACCTGGGAAGATTGACTCTTATCACAGGAGAGGTGACAAAAGTCCCTACCACACCCAGACAAACTGTCACACACTATAGTATCTCTCATCTATTTTTCTCAGCGTCCACTCATCTTTCCTAAAAATTATTTACTCTTCCCTAAGTGACCTCCATCTCCCCTGCCCTTTTTCTAATAAGTTGGCATATAAACTCACAAATCCCATTATATTTTGGGGTATTCACTTTTTTTCTTCATGTAATATTAAAAATTAATAAATTTATATAACTTTTCTTCTGTTAACCTGCCCATAGTCAGTTACCTCACAGACCAGCTGTTGGACCCAGGAAGATAGAAGGAAAGTCTTTCTTTTCCTTCACCTTATTTGGGAGGTTGATTCCTTGCCTTATATGCCTGTTCTCTGCCAGATCATAAATTTCTTGTCACTTTACCTCTTTCTGAATCCCTCGGGGCATAGAAGTCTGACTTGCACAAAGATAGGTGCTCCCTCGAAGCTTGTTGTGGATGCTGCAACACTCCACCAGCTGTTTTTACCCCAATGTTTACAGCACATTGTTCATAATGACCAAAAGGTAGAAATAACCAATGTCCCAGATGAATTGATGAACAAAATGTGATATAATTCATTTAATGGAATATTATTCGGCCTTGAAAAGGAATACAATTCTAACACATACTACAAAATGGATGAATGTTGAGAACATTATGCTTAGTGAAATAAGCCAGTCATAAAAAGAACAAATATTGTATCACTCAACTTATATGAAAGGCCTAGAGTAGGCAGATTATTTATAGAGACAGAATGTAGATGGTAGTTGTCAGGGGCTGGGGGGATGGGGCAAAGGAGAGTAATCATTTGACGGATACAAAGTTGCGGTTTGGGACCCTGAAATGGTTCCAGGAGGTGGATAGTGGTGATGGCCACAGAACCGTGTGCATGTACTTCATGCCATTAAACTGTGTGCTTAAAAAGGGTTAACATGGTAAATCGTTTGTTATGCCAATTTTACCACACAGCCCAAAAGAATATCAGAGAGGCAATATGAGACTTTTCTTATGGTAGGCACACCCGAGGCCTGCAAGATGAAAGAGTAGGTGAGGAGAACACCCTTTTTATAGAAAGGTGCTGGACCTGCTAAGCAAGATTAAAAAAAAAACAAAAAAACTGAGGCAAGGAAGGGCCAAACCCCTAATAGCAAACAACAAATAAACATTAAAAAAAAATTGAAAGTCAACCAACTAAATTTGAAGATCTACTTTGCTTTATTAAGTGATTTTTTAATGGAGTAGCATCCCATCTGGCAACTAGAAGGGCGCTCTGAGGGGTGAAACATGGGAGGTTTTATAGGAAGGAGGGTGGGAAAGAGAGCGATTAGCAAAAGAAAAGAAAGGATTATTGGGGTGAAGACCTTTACTCTTTTTTGGAGGGGGGAGGAAAAGGGGAGGGTTTCTATTCTAGATTGCCTCTCTTTCCATGGGGTGAGAGGGATGGAGAAGGTCCATCCATGGAACACGTTACCTCACTGGGTTCATCAGAAAATTCCAGACTGGTTGATTAAGATGACGGTATTAAATCCAGGCTTGGCGTCATAGGCTTTTAGCCTGAGCAACACCATTTTGGGCCAGTGGTTTTCTTTTTATCACAAACAAAAACGCACCACAGTTCTGCTCTCTGAACCCACCAGCCACTCACCATCAAGCAATTTGTTCCGAATGTTATTAATGAAGATACTAGGAATAGAGTTGTCCTGGGCACTTCCCTTCCCTCAAGCTAAGAAAAAGTGCCCAAGAGGTGGACCCAGAATGCTCAACATGGGTTTCCTGAGGATGACAGAACACGGCACCCCCAAAAATACACTTCGACGTAAGGATTGTTTTGAACTCAAGGCAACTAAGAAGAAGCAGATACAAGAAAAGCTCTCTGCCATCCCCCTGTTCACCTGAAAAAGGAGGGTACAAATTTGCTGAGTGTCCCCCTCCTCTCTATCAAGAACAGAAGTTAGTCACCGGAGACCACTCTGGACCCTTATCACTCCAGAGGAATCTAGACAACAAACCCTGCTAATCTGGCCCTTTATCAACCACAACTTTTCTCAAATATTTGCCTATTCAACCATTTGCCCCTAGAAGTTCAAAGCCCTTTTCCTCTGTCTTGTCACTTTCCTAAAACGTTATTGTTCTTTTATCATCTATGAGTGCTCCATGTCTACCAGTATGCATGTTAATAAACCCGTTTTCTCTTGTTATTCTGTCTTTGTCCGTCTAACTTACAGAGCCCCATGCGATGAACCTACAATGACTAGAGGGAAAGGAAGGAGTTTTTCCTGTCCTGCATCAGCAGCTGGGAAAACTAGAAAAGTTCAAAAGAGAGGTGCTGGCCGCACCTGCTCCTAACTGGACGGGCCTGGAGGCTGCCATGTCCGTACATGAGAAAGAAGCCTTCGGAGGGACTGGAAGCTTTCCTCATCTTAAATATTGATCTTGGTGGTCGTTAGCCAGGTATAAAAATTCATTAAGCTGTACACTTAAGTGTGTGAGCTTTGTTATATCTAAATTACACCTCAGTGTAAAGATATCACTTGCCAACTTACACCACAAAAAGTCTAGATTTAAATGGTATGGGATAAGGCTCAGGCACCAGTAATGCTAAAGCTCTCCAGTCTCAGTAGGGGCTGCACAGCACATCCTTGTGTCACTGGAAAGGAACCAGGCCAGAGTAGGTCTCACTCAGGCTGGCCAGTAAGTAGTGTGTGGGTTCTTGACTTCATGCAGGAAAGATCTCACAGCAGGAGGCCAGGTGATTTTGAGAGTACATTTATTAAAGCTGGGGACGGTGAAGCAAAAGAAGAAGCAACAGAGAGAGCCCAGGCGGCTTTGGTCCCCTAGAAACATTAGAAGAAAGAAGTGAGCCGTGGTGGAGCTGCTATTAGCTCACTGAGAAGTCAGCCATTGCTCCCCTTACTGCAAGTCTCCTGGGGTCCCTTAGAACGTAGGAGAGAAAAGTAGAGATGCATGCTTGAGAGGGAAGAAAGAAGTGGGCATGCTCTAGAGAGAGTCCTCGGTGGGTCTTCGTCTTGAGGGTTCTTACGTTTTCTAAAGTTGGGAATTTTAGAGAGGTCTTAGGGGAAGATCTCAATAGAATAGTCATCAGCTTTATGCTGAGGCACCAAAATGAGATTTACTCCTGTGACTTGGTCTGTCCCTGGGTGTGGTTGGCACAAATGGCACCAACTGGATTTCTGTTATATGTCTCCCTAAGTAGGGTGATTTAGGCTATGCACCCTCTGGCTGGGGAGGAGAAATGTAAACCATTTACTCTTAAGTGTCCTTGGTTAGGGAACTTAGAATTTTGCGATTTACTAGATGGCTGTAAACTTTTTGGCCATTTAACTATCCCCGTGTGCCTATTCCACTTGTCCTGGCTTACTCACCTGTCTCACTTGTAGGGGATGGCTAGTGACTGGTCTGTGCCCAGCCTTTGGAAGCGGGATTAGCCTCTGGGAACTAAGTGAACTACAGGGTTTGTAGGACAATTCATGGGGTAGGAGAGAGGACTGTTATATAATCTGTCAACTCCCATCTGTTCCCCTATATCCTTCTAAGAACAGCTCTCCCTTCTCCCTCTACAAATCAACTTTGAAAATCCACCCTGTAAGCCACCACCCAGCAACTCATCAGCTCTGCCTAGACATCTGAATCCCAGTGGCAAGGGCCTCCCTTAGTAACAGCCAAAAGGCTAAGGCCTCAGCCCCCAGTTCCTCTGGCAAGAACATCACCTCATGGTAAGCCAGTGAGCCAGAAGCTTACAACTGCAGGAAGTCAGGGTCCACAGCTTCAACCTGCCATCTAGACCCATGACCTGCAAGGAAGCAGGCACAAATGAGGCAGATGACACAGGTGATTCCAAAGACCCTGGAGAAGAATGAGCAAAATGATGATTTTGGCTCCAGAGTCCTGAGTAAATACAGTATAAAAGCTTGGTGACTATGGCCTGGGAAGTCATTAGAATGAGTATTTATGGCTGTATTTTATTTTGAGGTTGGCTAGAAGGCTTAAAGAATGGAAGATCCTTTGGCACCAGAAGCCTCACACCAACCAGCATATCTAAAAATTAAGTAGTGAAGCAAGCAGACAGGCTCTCTGTTACCGGACACTAATTTGGTGCCTCAGCTCAAAAATTCAAGATTCTTAGAACAAGCTCTTGCAATTAGACATTTAAAAATATCTAATGAATACCAATGCAGAGAGGAAAAAAGAAGAGATGTCTACTCGAGTGACTTGCGTG